TGATCATCTGGTGTCAGCTGCACTGCTTTTTGCTGCATAGCAATGGCCTGTTCAACATCTGCAAAGTCACCAAGATGTTCAAAGCGCATGCAGAAGGAGGCTCCAAGATTGGTAAGCATGCCAGGCTTGTCTGCATGATCATCTGATGTCAGCTGCACTGCTCTTTGCTGCACAGCAATGGCCTGTTCAACATCTGTCAGGTTACCAAGATATTCGGAGCGACTTGAGAAGGAGTTTCCAAGATTGTTGAGCATATGAGGCTTTTTTGCATTATCATCAGGTGTCAGCTGCATTGCTTTTTGCCATACAGCAATGGCGAGGTCCACATCTGCAAGGTTATTAAAATGCCTAAAGCGTCTTGAGAAGAAAATTCCAAGGTTGTTCAGCACCTCAGGATTATTTGATGTCAGCTGCACTGCTGCAGCAATGGCTTGATCAAGATATGTAAGATCCCTAGTATGTTGAAATTGCCTATTTAAGGCATCTGCAAGCATGCCCCAATATGCCCATTTGTGTTCATGATTATCAGGAACTAGCTGCAATGCAATTCTCGATATTATGATCATCTTGTTTAGTTCATTCAGAAGGTGTGATTTGTGATAACAATTCAGAAGTTCCTGAGAAAGATGTGCCAGGGTTTGCATGAAAGAATCTGAAATGTTGTCTTGAATTTGTGATAAATATGCATCAATACCAGTGAACAATATAGATGCATTGAGGCTTGTGTGGTGTAATCTGTATTTTAATTAATGATCTGGCCCTTGCATCTTAGAAACTTTACACATACTGCAGTGCTTCTTTATTCTCCATGCTGTCATTCAGCACAAGTTTGATGATGTTGTGCAACAAATTCCTTGGTTACACAGCTTAAGCAGGGTTGCCACAGCATTTTCAGTGCTAATTATAACATACCCAGCATGTGTATCCTTCACTGCAAGATACTCATTCAATAGCATTACACAAATTTCAGGTTTGAATTTTGCTCTGCTCAAGATTATCAATGATGGACATTATAACATTGCAAATTTAGTGATACCTACATGAGTTGAGCTTCTTCTGTCAACAGAAGACCACTCCAGCTCACAGCAGTTGACAAACTTGAGTTTGAAAGTCTTGACAGATAGATGATGAATATGTAAGACTAGACACAAAGGGAAGCTCACTGTGCTGGCATAGTCAGAATCTGAGGGTCTGAAGGAGATGGGGTTGGCTGTGAACCCTCCATAGGTTGTATGATTGAGATTCTGTGGTATCATAGATTCATTGAATTACTGGAATAAGTTGAATGGAGGAAATATGTATCTTACTCAGGTACAGTCAAGTCAGAATGCTCTGAGGTGGGCACAGTCAGAGGACTGGATAGCTCAGAGTCGATGTTTCTCGGAGTTGTATCCATAGTTCGAGTTCTCAGTGATCACAGAGTGTTGCAGAAGTGTAGCTTTGACGAAGTGTCCGAATGCAGGGGATGCGAGAGGATAGGGATGAGAGGAAAGGGAAAGGGGGTGTGAGGTATGCGAGGCTAAGTATATGTGGGTGGCCTATGCACAGCTCGCAAAGCGCATGTTTGATGGGCAGGATCATATGTACTAGTAAATAGTATTAGACCACTGAGCGCTGAAAGCGCTGAACTTTGAAGAGGACGCGGTTACTCGTCAAGATGCTCGCAGTCTTTCCCTTCCGGTTTGTGTCTCATCTCGCGCACTGTTACGTGCGAGGATGGGACTTATGTTCGCACTTGTAGAAGGTGAATATCACCCGTGCAGGATTGAAGGACGCGCTCAGTGGCGCCGATTCTGTTCTTCGAGCGAGGCAGTCGGCGCCCAAGGAAGCATGCTATCCTGTACTCATATCGCCCGAAATATAGCTTGCTTCTGTCATGAACGTGTTCAGCACGCATTTGAGACACTGCCATTATCCATCTATTCAGCACCCCTTCGTGATATGGATGGCCGCTCGCATTCTCATCAAGGAAGATACTCGTCTGGACACTTGGCCATATACACCAACTAGTGCACTCGTACCGCAGCAGATTCTCGACCCATGCCGGCGGTTGCCCGCATTCAATGCTAATTCACTAAGCAGCACCACGCGCTGCCATTATCCTGCCCTGTCTTCAGCATGCTCGTCCCGACGTTCTCCGCTTCTCCCTCTTGTGTCACTATCTCTAAGGCTTTTCACACCTGCGGCGCCCTTCTACATCCCACGAGAGCTTCTTATGGTATCGACACAAACTTCTTCGAG